CAGAACTCTTTAGTCAACGCTTCATTGCTTAAACCGCCCTTCTACCCCTCGCATCGTCTCGTGTCGTCTTACAGTAGACGCGACGCGTAATCTCTTACTGCGTTGCGTATTGTTAATCTTATCGTGATAGCTTTCAATCGATTCTTCTAAATAACTTGGTGTGAAAGACAAAGTTTATCTATATTAAATACTTAAAACGACAATTATTATATCAATTTTTATAAGAATTTGACAGATATTCTAAAATGTGCATTGTGAAAAAATTATCTAATTCAATTGTATTTATGGACTTTATGGACCTCATGGAAATAAGTATTTTTTTGATAAATGAAAATCTGATTTCCTGCTGATGAATCCATAACGTTAAAATAATGTTGTATTCTTGATTGTTAACAATAAACATTAACAAAAATATTTTGAAATTGAAGTTGTGAATTATTCAAAATAACGCTATTTCAAGTACATATTGAAAACATTATTTCAAGTACATATTGAAGACATCATTTCTTGAATGGAAATTTTGATTCTTTATATGACGATCCATAAATTGCGATGTTTATTATGATTTTTTTCATAACTGAAATACTTGGTAGCACTCTAAATGTCATGAAGAATATTAATTTCCACTGATGTATTCCTTATCATAATGAACAGAAAATAAACGAATATTTGATGATTGGGAAAAGAAAGAACGCCACTGAATTGTTGTATTTTTTTATTTTTTACGTTAACCAGCTTTTGAAATGGTTAGGTTGGGTTAGAAACAAAAGACGGTTATCATTTGAAAATTTGGAAGAAGATATCAACTTGGCCTAGGCCGCTGGAGCATTAGGTCATTACAATTGTAGACGGCTTAAAGAAGTGATATGCGGAGACGAAATACTTTTTCAATAATAGATTTTTTGTTAACTTTATATAAGAATGATTGGTGGAAAAAGTTATTTGAGGAATTGCAAACGAGTTATCACTGAGAATGTTTCAAATTTTGTTTATTGGGAGTAAATGTGAAATAATTTCACTTACATGATTCACATCAGATTTTATATTGAGGCAATTTTGTGATTTCGAATTGAATACCATTTCCAAGAATGATACTTTGGAAACATTTCTCTCTTTCGCAAAAATTCCAACAGAAAGGTCCATTGCATGACTTTCCTTGCATTGAAATTTTTATGTCACCAATATTTTTGAAAATTCGTGAGTAAATTCAGTAATGAAAGTTAATGAACTGAAAAAAGCATTGAAATATTGGAGTTTATTGTTATCAATCATTTGGGATTAATAGAAGAATATGAGTTGGTTGAATTGAAAAATTCAATTTCTGTTAACGTTCTGAATCAAGATGTAGTCATATGTTGCACACCGCGTCCCGACGAAAGTTGGAGAGACGACAGAGGCAGAAGGTACCTAGCCACAGCTGTTGTTATTCGAGGAGCATCGATGGACTTGAATGTGGTATACAAAGTGCGAAGGGAATATCACGTTCGGCATACAAATCAATACTTTCCATAGAGTTATATATGCCAATAGTCGTGTTCATATTCACCATTTCTTATCGCTTCTTACTCACTCGGGAAAACTGCAGCTAATCGCAAATGTTTTTAATCGGAAGGCTGATTCACTTCCAATCAAAGATTGTAATGAGTGAATATTCAATTTTGAACGAACATACTGACTTAGTGAAATGATTTTCACGGAAAGTGCTTGATATGAGTACAAACTAGCTCAAGAAAAGTAAAATCAAGTGAAAGAACTCGTTGAATAGAT